GACGCCCCAGAGCAGCACTCGCTGCCGCCGGCCCCAGCGCCTCCCCGCCGCGCACATCTCCGCCGCCGCACCGCCGGCACCGCAGACAGACCCCAGCCGCCGCCCGCCGATCCGGCTCTTTTTCCCGTTCCGACTTGGCACTCTCGGCTGCTGCCGCCCGCTCCTCTGCCTCACTATAGCACGGCTCCGCACCGCGGGAGAGATCGGAAACCAACCGTTTCCCGACCCAGGAATCCAGCGATCCAGCGATCGAGCCGGGCCGCAGCGGGCGGGGCTGCAGCGCTCCGACCTTCCTCTCGCTCCTCTCGGTCAACAGCGGCGCCCGCAGCCTCCTCCCGGCACTGCACGCACCGAGCGCGAACGAGCAGTGCCCGCCCTGCCTCGCCCACGGGAAGCTCAAAAAGACAGCACATTCTCCATGTAAATGTCGGGTCCAGTACAGCGGAGACCTGGCGTTATGTTCTTTCTACCGCACAGGAAAATATTTTTTAGATTGCGATAATCTATAAGATACAAAGTTCTTTTAATATGGCGCAGAGTATTCCGAATCTACTATTCCATGATAGGAAAGTACAAAATCCTCCCTGCAACTGCACAGCTATTTGTCATTTGTTGTCTTGTGTTTTCTCACTGAGCGTCAACACTCGAACATTCCAGCCACAGTAGATTCCCAGGCCCTGAGCAAATGCACATAGCAGTAACGAAGGTTCCTCCTCAAAAGCAGCCATTCTAGGGACTGCTCTTCCCTCTCTGCCTCTTTACTTTTCACTTGCACATCCGAGGCTGCTCTGAATTAGCCTGCATTCCTCTCCTTTAACCAGTACCTCCGAATTTTTCATTACATCCTAAACATTAGGCCTTGCTTTTGCATACAGCTTAGTGATCCATTCTTGATCGCAACCTTATAGAGAGATGCTATCAAGCAAGGAATGTATAAACTTGGTGACAAAAAACCATGAAAATTAAACACAAGTTAGAACCAAAGAAAGCAAGCAAACAACGAACCAAAACCAAAACATGCGAATTTGTTTTATAGATCACATTCAACCTCTCTGTAGAAAAGCCAGCTGAAAAACGGTAAATAGGAAGCAGTCAAACTCTGAATGAGAAATAATCGCAGAAATAGGATACAGAAAGCTCTGATAAAATAAACTGATCTCATCATAGCTTGCCATTTCTGTAGCCCACTTACACCAAAAAATGGGACGGCACAGCGTAGAAGGTAAGCATATTCCTTAGGGAAGAACTACTCCCCCTTTCTTCTAGCAAGTTTCCTTAAAAGTTCGAAATACCAAACAAACAGGTCGGTACATCTACACGGTAAAGAATGCTTAGGAAGGAAAAATCTCATTACTGAGCGTCAGTCGCATTGCCAACTCCACCATGTGGACTTACCAGATCTCTTTCTAAAATCCGCCTTCACCGTTACTAACCCATAATATTTCACACAACAAAAAGTCTGCAGAAAAACCCGAGCAACTGAACAAAGAGGTGCTGTCGCTACGTTACTGCTCTGAGAAGAAAATGAAAGAAAGCAGAACGGAGAAGCAGATCTTTACAAGTCCTCTACGGTTTTACGTAGCGTAAGTTGAACGACAAGAACCTCCCAGCTGAGCCGACATCTGTGACAGCTCATGAGGCAGGAAGTGCCGGTTCGCAACGCCTGATGCCTTAAAGGCGGCAGAGCTATTATCCGTGCCTGGGGAAACAGCGACCGGCACTAAATGCACCAGAACAGAAACAAACCCCAAGAGCCCACTGCCAGCAGCAAGTCGTTAGAAAAAGCTCAGAGAGGAGTGAAGGGGCTTACAGACCTGAAGTGTTTCGGGGTCGGCGGGCGGCTGTTCCACGACGGCGCTGCTGCTCAGACTCGGCTTCTCGCAGGGCTCCCCGGCCACAAGCTCCTCCGCGGGCACGATGGGCAGCGGCGGCGGCGGCCAAGCGNTCTCGGTCAACAGCGGCGCCCGCAGCCTCCTCCCGGCACTGCACGCACCGAGCGCGAACGAGACATGCCCGCCCTGCCTTGAGCACGGGAAGCTCGTGGGAACGGAACAAGCGCCAGGGAGTCGTGAGGTTCCGTCCAGCGGGGACCTCCTGCTTCAGATATTCTCCAGACGATCTCTTTTTGGTCGTGTAGCTGATCACGACCAGACCGAAACTGCACGCCTCTCGGCGTTATTATATTTCTACAACACGATAAAATTTGGATATAAAAATGTCTTAATATGTCGTGCAGACTATTACAAATCTTACTCCATAGTAGGAAAGCACAATGTCTTCCCTACACAATTTTTTGTATTATTTGTGTTTGAATGAGTGTTTTCTCACTCATACGCGATAGCCTACAGACATGGAAGGTCCCCAGATGCCGAGAAATTGCGCACAGCAGTGAAGGTGATCCCTTCTCAAAAGCAGTCATCCTGGGGACTGCTGTTCTCTCTGTTCTTTGTGACTTTTCACTTGAACATCCCAGGCTGCTCTGAATCAGCCTGCATTGCTCCCCTTCTCCAATCCCTACTCCCGAATTTTTCTTTGCAGCCTTACACAAGAGGCCGTGCTCCACTCTATACCATATTCCTAGTTATAAACTCTATCAACCAAGGAAAATATAATTTGGGGGGGATGGGGAATAGATAGACTAGGAACACACGTTAAAAAAACCCCACAACTAAACACATAAAAACCAACCAAACAACGAACCCTATAAAAACTAAGACAAAAACCAAACAAACAAAAAACCTCACCATGCGAATTTCTTTCTTACATCTCAACCAATGTCTGGGTAGAAAAGCCAGTGGAGTAATGGCAAACAAGGAGGGAACACCAACTCACAAAAAAAACGCAGAAAGAAAACAATATAATAAAGCTCTGATAAAATAAACCGATCTCATTGTAGCTTGTTATTTCTGCAGCCCCCTTACACCAAAACATGGGAAGATGTCACATTCGCAGGGAAGAATAATCTGGAAATTTCCCCATACATCTAGACACAGCGAAATAAAAGTTAAAAAAAATTATTTCATCTGGCACCCAGGACCCAGTGCATCTATTTGGTTAACAAGAAGCAAGAATGAAAAATGCCATCATCGAGCGTCAATCACATATTCCCAACTCCATAGAATTGGCGGATCTCATTAAAAACGTAAGGATTCGCCTTCTTTGTTAATAAGTCATACTATTTCAGTCAACACAAGCTTTGTAGACAAAACTGAAACTGAACGGATAACGAAGGAAGGGATGTGTTTCTATCATGGCCTTCTCCGAGAGGAAAAAGGACAAAACCAAAACATAAACCAGACCTTTACTCCTTTTCTAATATTTTATGCATCAGAAGTTAATGGCAACAGCATCCCCACTGAATCTACACGTGTGATAGTTAATAAGGCGAGAAATGGCAGGTAGCAGGCCCTGCTGTCAAAATAAAGCGGCACAGCATTATTCAACTCTCGAACAGATACAGAGATTGGTACTAAACACCCTAGAACACAAAAAACAAGACCACATAAATCCTAGCTTGTGCTTAGGAAAGACTGAGAGAAGGAGCATGCGACTTGACAGACCTGAAGTGTTTCGGGGTCGGTGGGCGGATCTCCCGCGACGGCGCTGCTGCTCGAGCTCGGCTTCTCGCAGGGCTCCCCGGCCACAAGCTCCTCCGCGGGCACGATGGGCAGCGGCGGCGGCGGCCAAGCGGCCTCGGGGGTGGCGCGGG